ATGAAATTTACTTGGCAATTATTTTCTGGGTATCACACCAAAAGCACAAGGAACAAAAGCAAAAGTAGACAAGGGGACTACATCAAATGAAAAAGCTGCTGTGCATAGGAAAGGATCAATAAAATAAAAGCAACCTACAAATGTGAAAAAAAAATTGCAAACCATGTATATGATAAGGGGCTTTTACACAAAATATATGAGGAATTCTTACAATTCAGCTTTTTTTTAAAGTTAAAAAATGGACTAAAAACTTGAATAGATGTTTCCTCAAGAAGACACAACATGTTCAACATCTCCAGTCATCAGCAAATGCAAAACCGAACTGCAATGAGATTTCATCTCACACCTGTTAGGATGGCCATTATTTAAAAACATTTAGAGCTTTGGTGAGGATATAGAGAAAGTGAGACTTTAGCAGTGTTGGTAGAAATGTCAAATGAAAAAATGCCATGGAAATTAGTATTGAGATTCCTTAAAAAATTAAAAATGGAAATATCATTTGCAGGGCATTTATCCAAAAGAATTGAAATCAGTATTTTGAAGAGCTATTTGTACCTCCTTGTTCTTTATAGCATTGTTCACAGTAGTCAAGATTTGGAAACAACCTAAATGTCCATCAGTGGATGATTGGCTAAAGAAAAGATAACATATGTTCAGTGAAATATTATTAAACCATAAAAGGAAATGCTATCACTTGCTCACCATGGATCAACTTTACTTTGTAAAAACAATTCAGCCTCAGATGAGTACTTTATGATTCCATTTATGTAAGGTAGCTGTAGTACTTGATTTCACAGGGAGAGAAAATAGAATGGTGGTTGCCAGGGGAAGGGGAATTAGGAAGTTGCTTTTCAGTGGATATGTTTCAGTTATAGAAGGTGAAAAAGTTTGAGATCTGCTTTACGACATTGTGCTTACAGTTAACAATAACGTTGTGTACACTTAACATTTGTTAATAGGATGTCGATTTTGTGGATGTTTTAAAATAATTTTTAAAAACATTATTAAGCCTTCAAATCCGTGAGAGGAGAAAAAACTAAGAAGGTTTGACATATAATTCTGTGCCCACTGTGCTCCTACTGGTTTTGAAAAACTTGGTATCCCCAATAAAAGAGAGACCATATGGAACTTTGAAGGATATTTTTAGTCAGAAGTAGAAAAGAATTCAGTACATATAAGGGAGAAAATATATGTGTTTAGGAGGCAGCATCACATTTAGAAAAAAAGCTCTGTAGACATCAGACCAGCTAAAGGTAATGCTGCAAACACCTGCCACACCAAGTCGCTAGATAACATTCCAAGGGCAGCTTTCTGTGGTCACATCCTTTCTGTGATTCAGCCTGGCTGAATAATCAAGTGGGCAAGAATTTGTGTGGTTGTCTGCAGTGACACACACAATCCATCTTTCTTTCTCAGCTCCCTCGTGGTCCAGCTCTTGTTTTCTTTTAATCACCAAATAGAAAACCTTGCATTTGAACATTGTCATTCTTGTCAGCAGTATGTGTTACTGGTGGTTTTCAGAGTCAGCTTGGTGCATGTTCATTTGAGAAACTTTTGTGACCCCACTGTGATGTCATCATAAATTTGATTCCTTTGCCTCTTTTCTGGGTGTTGATAAGCATGCCACGGCTGTGTTTGTAACAGTCACTATTGTGGACACTTAAGAATAAATCGAGTCAGTTTCCAGAGCCTTTCCTCAGTTGAAGGTGATGATTTTATCTGCCTTTTATAATGTATAGAGCTATTTTACCACAGTGATTTTTTTTTTAAAGATTTATTTATGAGGCCGGCACTGTGGCACAGTAGGTTAATGCCCTGGCCTGAAGCGCCGGCATCCCATATGGGCGCCGGTTTGAGACCCGGCTGCTCCACTTCCTATCCAGCTCTCTGCTATGGCCTAGGAATGCAGTAGAAGATGGCCCAAGTCCTTGGGTCCCTGCACCTGCGTGGGAGACCCGGAAGAAGCTCCTGGCTCCTGGCTTCAGATTGGCACAGCTCCAGCCGTTGCGGCCAACTGGGGAGTGAACCATAGGATGGAAGACTGACTCTCTCTCTCTCTCTCTCTCTCTCTATCTCTCTCTCTCTCTGCCTCCCCTCTCTCTGTGTAACTCTTTCAAATAAATAAATCTTTTTTAAAAATTTATTTATGTAACTGATAGAGTTACAAGGAGAGTGAGAGTTCACTCCCCAAATTGCTACAACAGCTGGAGCTTGGCCAAGCCAAAGCCATGAGTCTGGAACTTCATCCTGGTCTCCCTCATGGTGGCAGGGCCCCCACTATTTGGACAATCTTCCACTGCTTTCCCAGGTGCATTAGCAAGGAGCTGTGTTGGAAGTGGAGCAGCTGCAACATGAACCAACACCCATATTGGATACTGGTATCACAAGCTGTGGCTTTACCCACTCTGCTGGCCCCTGTATAAGACTTTAAATTTGAGTTCTGTGTCTCTGAAAAAGTCTGAAATTGTATTTTTAATGAAGCTGTGGTGCAGTAGGCTAAGCCTCCACCTGTGGTGTTAACATCCCCTATGAGCACCAGTTCGTGTCATGGCTGCTCCTCTTGCTATCCAACTCTCTGCTTATGGCCTCGGAAAGCAGTAGAAGATATCCCAAGTCCTTGGACCCTTGCACCCATGTGGGAGACCTGGAAGAAGCTCCTGGCTTTGGACTGGCCAAGCTGTGGCCTTTGCAGCCATTTGGGGGGTGAACCAGTGGATGGAAGACCTTTTTCTGTCTCTCCCATTCTCTAACTGTTACTCTGCCTCTCAAATAAATAAAATCTTTAAAAAAAAACTTTTTTGGTTATGATTAATCTCATCTTTCTTGTTTTTGTTCCCATTTGTAAAACATAAAAGTGCTAAGGCATCTTCTCTATTTATCTTGAAAACTCCTGGGGCTGGTGCTGTGGCTCAGCGGGTTAATGCCCTGGTCTGAAGCGCGGCATCCCATATGGTCGCCAGTTCTAGTCCCAGCTGCTCCTCTTCCAATGCAGCTCTCTGCTGTGGCCTGGGAAAGCAGTAGAAGATGGCCCAGGTCCTTGGGCCCCTGCACCCGTGGAAAGAAGCTCCTGGGCTCCTGGCTTCAGATTGGCACAGTTCCAGCCATTGCCGTCAATTGGGGAGTGAACCATCAGATGGAAGACCTCTCTCTCTCTTTCTGCCTCTCTTTCTGTGTAACTCTGACTTTCAAATAAAATGAATAAATATTAAAAAAAAAACTCCTGAAATTCTATATTCTCCAAAAATCTTTCTGTAAGGCTAATGTTAAAATGATTAAACAGATTATAATTAAAAAATCTAATTTTCTTACATTTTGATTAAAGCTGAATATTTATTTTGCCTATAGTTATATTAAAGTAGCCATTCTGAAATGGGAAAGGATAAGTTAATGTGCTGGCAATAATTAATTCAGGAACAATCAATAGATAAGTAGTTATGCAATTAAACTGTTATAGTCTTATTTGCAACAAACTCTTGTTATCCCCATTATCCAACCAAAAAGCAACTCAGCTAGCATTGCAATAACACAAATGTTTAGTGGTCTTCACTATATTTTGAGGAATCTACTGGTACCTAGGTGGGAAAGAAAGTATAGCTATCTAGTTTGTATTTTACCCATCAAAGCACATTTAGACATTCATAAGATTTGATGATGTTTTGTGTATATTTCCTACTGGTTTTTATAGTCTTGCCATGTGAGAGAAAAGACAGCTTTTGTCCCTCAGTGGCCATTGTGTGGTATGTTTTTAGGACCTGATTTTGTTTACTAGGTTTTGAGAAATACAAAATTTTGTAGACCTTTCTATGGAATATTCACAAAGGTTGAATAATTGGCAATGAGGTATTTGAAATTTCTAAAAAGATTGTAAAAATTTTGTTATACATATATTACAAAAATGTTTTAAGCATTTAAATTAAACACTTGTGGGGCTGGCATTATGGCGTAGGTAGCAAGCAAAGCTGCCACCTGCTAGGCTAGCATCCCATTTGGGTGCCAGTTCATGTCCCAGCTGCTCCACTTCTGATGTAGCTTCCTGCTAATGGCCTAGGAAAAGCAGCAGAGGATGGACCAAGTGTTTGGGCCCTTGTTACCCACATGAGAGACCCGGATGAAGTTCCTGGCTTTGGCTTGGCCCAGTCCTGGCTGTTGCAGCCTTTTGGGGAGTGAACCAGTAGATGTAACATCTCTCTTTGTCGCTCCCTCTCTCTCTATAACTGTTCTAAATAAGTAAATAAATATTTTTTAAAAATTAAAGAGTTGTGTATAAAGTATTGTTTATATTAATACCACCACAAGTAGGATAGCAATCTAATTTTCTGAAATAGAGTTTGATTTAAATAAGAAGATAATGAAGAGGCTTCAAAAACATTCAGGAAAATGGAGTAAAGACATAATGCAAGCTCTCAGTGAACTTTTTGTACTGCCATCATATGCCAAAAACTATTTTAGGCACTTTGAATATATTAGAATATTTAATTTCTAAGATAAATGTAGAAAGTAAGTATACTCAATTCTATTTCAGGATGAAGTCAGATCCCTAAAGGTTGTCAGTTTACCAAGAGCATACTTGCTGATAAATGGTCATCGCAGAAACAGGATGTTCTTTCCCTTAAACCATTCTAGAGATCACAAAAAAGGCTGGGGACCATGAAGTAACTTAAGAAGTGACAATTTTAAGATAATACAATGATAAATGGAAAACTGTGTTTAACAATGCCCATAGTATTGCCACAACATCTTAGGATATATTTGACCAGAGTGAAGTATTATGGTTTTTCATGTTTGGATTGGATTGCTGGAATTTTGTGTTGTGATTATCCTTTCTTCTATAAAGTTTCTGGAATTACAGATAAGTTATTTTCCAGATAAGTATAATTTAAAATAGAGTGCTTGTAGCATTGATTTACTTCATTGATCAGTATAAAATTTCTAATATTTTTGGTCTGTGTTCTAAAAGATTGTGTGGTCTTTTGAGCTTGTATTTTTGTTTTTAATGCTAGATTATCAAGTTATTGGATGGCAAGCGATCTCAAACTGTGGGAATCTTGATATCCAGTTTGCACTTAGAAATGAAGGATATCCAGCACGGTAAGTTTTTTCCACCACTGTTTTGTCTAACTTAAAAAAAAATGTGTAGATGTTTTATTGTGAAAAGTTTCTAACACATACAATATCAGAATGTCAAAATGATCCCATGTTCGCAATGTCTGGCAACAGAGTGTCTTGCTTCATCCAAAGCACCCCTGTCACCAGCTAGATTATTGCAAAGCAAATCTCAGACATTTTGAACTAATCTGTTAAATATATTAATACTACTGCTGAAATAATTTTTCAAACATAACTCCGAGTGCCATCATCATGCCATTAGAAGCATTAACAGTCATTTTTCCATATTATCACATAAGTAGTTCTGATTTCCCATACACTAGCTAATTCAATCATTCATTCAGAGTTTGAATATAGTCACATTTTGTGCATTGCGTTTGATGTGTCTCTCGAGTTTATTTTATTCTAAAGATTTCTACCCTGCATCTTTCTTTTCCTTTGTAATTTGGTTGCTGAAGGAAGCCAGGTCACTTGGCCTATAGAGTTTCCCACATTGTAGATTTTGCTGATTGCATTGCCATATTTTTTATTTATCATATTCCTCTGTCTCATGTTTCCTGTAAACTGCTAGTTTGATCTACAGACTTAATCTGATTAAGGGAAAGAAACTTTTTAGATGCTATATGTATTCTATCAACAAATACTTATGTGTATTCTATCAACAAATACTGATGTTCTTAGATTCACTATTTCATTAAAAGTTTGCAAAATAATGATATACTGATTCCAACATTTTGTTTTCATTAGCTGGAATGTTTCATATAGAAACTCTTTCCTTCATCAGCTATTTGATTATGCCATATGGTGTCTCAGTCCCTTCCTTTTTGACTTTTAACTGACTTCATATCTACATGGTTATCTCTGGCTCAATTATAAATAGAAGGCATTTAAAGTGAAGAAACTTTTATGTGTTTTTCTTAGTTTCCAGAAAAGTAGACAAAAGCCGTCATCCCCTTTTGAAATCTGTGTCTTGCATGAGAACAATACTCCGCTTTCTCAGTAATCAATTAAATGTAAATCTTTATTTTCACATGTCACTTATAATATTTTCTGGGTGGTAATATAATCTCTTAGATGGTTTCAGTAGAATTCAGCGTGGGTCTGACAGTGGGAACATCTGAAACCACACTGCCCTTTAGGTTGCAATGCTTGTTGCTCAGAGTTATTTTCCTCTGTTGCTTAGAGGACTCCCATAGGTCCTGTACTAAAAGACACTTAAGATCCTTTCACACGCTAGTTTTCCTTTCAAAGGAGCCTTTGTTAGGGGGCTTAAACTTCTGTTCTATTGCAAAAAATTTAAATCTCATACAAAAACTAAAAATATTCTAAATTAGTTGGTAGTCACAGAGTATTTAAATAAGTTATTCTTTTTTAATATTGAAATTCAGTAGTGGAACTGGGTGCATATGTAGGAATATTAAACCTCAGAAAATGTTACAGTGGTTGATTTGAGTTTGGGGCAGAGGTTAGTTAAAAACTCCTACCACTGAAGTTAGAATGGGATTCTTCAGTGTTTCAAAAAGGATCTCAAGTTAGACCTTCTAGAGTAGCTGAGTTTCTGGTGTATTCAAACAAGAGATGTGATGCTAGCACAAAGGAAAAAAAATGAAAAAAAAAAAAAGTCTCTGCAGAGAAAGTTATGGCCTTTTGGTAAGGAACTTCTGGGGGACAGTCGTAGAAATTAGAAAGGGGCTCTTTGAGTATAGTATGAATGAGTTATGTCCTAAGCAACGCTCTTCAGGAGCCTGGTGAAACTCATATGTGCCTGGTTTCTCATCATGGTGTATCACAGTGTGGACATGAGTTTTCACAGCCTCAACATCACTTTAGACTCCATTCAGTTTGGTTTAGGTATAACCTGCTGCAGGATGTCTGATTGCCACATGGATGAGAGTCATGGCAACCATGTGAAATCTCAGCTACTAACTGAGGGCCGTAAACCTCTTCCCATAGCATTCTTTCCTTATTGGATTGTTTATGGTGAGTTGAATAAATATTGATTTATCCAAATCTTTCCAATATTCTTCTGTAGACAAAAACATGATTATAGGGAGCAGAAGTGAAATTTCATGTCCACATCAGAAGTCCTGATCACAGAGTTCCAGGCCTTGTGGATAACATTTTAGTTCTTTCTCCTGCCTCACATACCTTGGTTATCCACAAGAGAGTTGGCTCCTAAAGTCTGAAAATTCATTTCCTTTCCATTTCTTCATTTAGTAATATATTCCAGTTGAATATGGCAATATGACCGGAGGTTAATTTTCCTTTAGAATCATTGACTGGCACTGGTATCTGAAGGTCATTAGGAGCCCAGACTCCATCAGTTATATTTCCCTTTGAATCCATGTCTGGGCATGAATGGAACGCACTTGGCCTTGTGTTGTCATCCTGTTGAAAGGGCCCCCTATGATCATGTTACCTAAAATGTCTATGTTAATGTGAGGGGGCTGCAGAGAGATCTGAGTGGGACAACCAACTGACAGCCACGCAGGTCTCCTAGCTATCAGCCCTGGAGAAATGACCACAGTTCACAGGCTGTTCTTCAGTTGTCTGGTCATATACCCATCTTTGTCAGCAGACAAAACCAGAGGCATCAACTCGCACTTTCTAAACTCACAAGAAGCTAACGTATTAAACCAGAGAGGAGAATATTTCTTTCTTTTGACTAAAATATTTATCATATCTGTTCATTGCTTTCTCTGGATCATCCATCTCTAGTTTATGTTGTGGATATCTTTATGCTATTTTCTTCCTTAAAATGTCATTTCCATTACTCTATTACAGCACATGTATAGGAAGCACCAGTATTTTTTTGAATCAAGGAACAAAGAGTAGGGTGAGAAGGGGTTGATGAAGGCATGAATACAAGCACAGTAGTTTACAAACATATAAACAACACACTTAATTCCTGGAAAATGTGCTATTCAGATGGTAGGAACATAAGTAAGTACAGGGGCTCCTGGAGAGCTTCTGTTCTTTCACTTTCTTCTTTTTTTTTTTTACAGGCAGAGTGGACAGTGAGAGAGAGAGACAGAGAGAAAGGGCTTCCTTTGCCGCTGGTTTCACCCTCCAATGGCCACCGCGGTCAGCGCTCTGCAGCCGGCGCACCGCGCTGATCCGATGGCAGGAGCCAGGTGCTTCTCCTGGTCTCCCATGGGGTGCAGGGCCCAAGCACCTGGGCCATCCTCCACTGCACTCCCAGGCCACAGCAGAGAGCTGGCCTGGAAGAGGGGCAACCGGGACAGAATCTGGCGCCCCAACCGTGACTAGAACCCGGTGTGCCGGCGCCGCAAGGCGGAGGATTAGCCTAGTGAGCCACGGCGCCGGCCTGTTCTTTCACTTTCTAAATAACAATGACTTTTCATTCTTGTCTTGCTGAGATTACAGTTTGTCATCTTGCTAACAGTTTTGAGTATTTCAGTACACAATTACCTCCTATAGATAGATAACCTGTCTTTTACTGACCTGACTCTTAAAAAGCAGCCTTATTTTCTTGATTTGTAAGATGAGCACTTTTCTTTGGTCCACTAGGTACTGTCTATGAGGTACATTCAGCTCGTGGAATGTGGGCCTTGTATGTGTCAAAGTCTTAATAGATAGCAGAGCCACTGTTCATACCTCTGCATTGTGTAGCCTTGCTTTGCTAGGAGTTTCTCTGATAAGTAAGCAGTTTTTACAACTAGTTGGGCTAATATGTCACATGTTAAAGTCATGTATTCAAATGTTTGTTGAATTTAATTTTTAAAGTAACGTTGAGAATCGGAATGTCAAAATTAACATTCCAGTGCATTTGGACAGAATCAATCGCCTGCCTGCCTTCTTTTCTTCTCCACGCCTTCTTGTATTAAGTGTCATCTCTGTATCACACAGCATGACTGTAATACTTTAGATCGGACTCTAACATTTTCAAGGGCTGCAAGATGGCTGGACAGATGTACAGACAGCCCAAAAAGAATGTAGAGGTGGCTATAAAACATCAGAGAGCAATGTCTTAACTGTTCCTGTAAAGCTTAAGATGGCTCTTACAGGACGGGATGGAACTCATCCCACAGAGGTAGAGCTTTTCCATGTGAGGAAAAGCATGAAATGCCATCTTTGAAGAGGAGCCACAACTGGAGAGTGTGGAGTGCATGTGAATCTGAGTTGCTTCAGGATATGGGGCTTGGAAACCCGAGCAGTGTACAGACGAGAAGGGCCCCTGCATATCATCACAAAAACTACATCAGTATAGTGAGAAGCATGGTTGTGATACCAGTCTGAGGGCAGCAGGATCTGTCACTGTCACATGGAAGACTGACCTCTAGGGCCTTGCATGCTCTGGTCAGCGTGTGTATCTCTTCCTTCATTTTACGCCCCTCGCTTCCCCTCATAGCACTCTAGCTAGCCACAGAGCTCTTTCTTTATTCCCTAAAAAGGCCAAGTCCTTTCCTTCCTCTATGTCTTTGAACTGACAGTGCTTTTTAAATGAACTTCCTAACCCCTGCCCTCTCTTTGACATACTTCTCTGTCCATTCTCTGTTTAGCTAGCTCCTGTGCTTCATTTTAGGTTTCAACTTCAATGTTACCTGAGATCTAAGATCCTCCTCCCTAAGAAAAGTCATCTTCACCTCATTCTCTTGTTTTCTTCACAGCACTTATATTTTACTTACTCACTTGTTTATGTTTTCATTTACACCCACCACCAGGACACAGGCTCCAAGAGAATGATTGCTCACTGGTGTATCTTTGAGCACCTTGCACTTGTGTCTGGCACACAGGCAAATGGTCATCAAGTGCCTATTGAACAGATAAATAAAAATAGTACTGAAGGTGGATAAATCTGTTAGCAAGGAGTCGTGATTGTTCATAGGATCAATGATGAAGGTCAGAATCAAGGTGGTATCTATATTAAGGCAGAGGAGAAGACCATGAACAAGGGATATTTGGAGAGAAAATTGCTACATTTAGAAATGTCAGATGCAGGGAGCAATGGAAAGGATATC